AAACAGCCTCAAATGATGAGCTATAAAGGCCACACAAACATCAGTAGTTGCCAAGTCGTGGGGAGTTCAGGGAGGGAGCCGCCAAACATAGTGCTTGAGGGCTATGATATGGTGACAGCAAACTCTAAAGTCAGAAAGATTTGAAAGTTTTATTAAAAATTGTGGGGCCAAAATTAGGGCATAGTAGGAAAGGCCACTGCCTGCAACACTGGCATCCCATGTGTGTGCAGGTTCCCGATCCAGCTCCCTGCTAATGTGCCTTGGAAAGCAGCGGAGTTGGCCACAAGTGCTCGGGGCCCTGTATCATGTGGGTGACCTGGAAGAAGCTCCTGGCTTTGGAGTGGCCCAACCTGGCCATTGAGGCCATTTGAGGAATGAGCCAGCTAGTATGAAGTCTCTCTTATTCCCTCTCTGTAATTCTGACTTTGACAAACATTGTAAAACAAAATTTTAAACTGTAATTAAAGATATACAGGGCAAGTGGTTAAAAAGGTCCTCACCTTGCCGCCCGGGATCCCATATGGGCGCCGGTTCTAATCCCGGCAGCCCCGCTTCCCTTCCAGCTCCCTGCCTGTGGCCTGGGAAAGCAGCAGAGGACGGCCCAAAGCTTTGGGAACCTGCACCCGCGTGGGAGACCCGGAAGAGGCTCCTGGCTTCGGATCGGCATAGTATCGGCCCGTTGCGCTCACTTGGGGAGTGAATCATCGGACGGAAGATCTTCCTCTCTGTCTCTCCTCTCTGTATATCTGCCTTTCCAATGAAAAAATAATAAAAATAAATCTTTAAAAAAAAAAAATCTGCTACATCTGTTTTATTTTTAAAAACATTTGTTGGTTTGAAAGGCAGAATGACGGCGAGAGAATTGGAGCTTCCATACGTTGTTCCCTCCTCAGGTGGTCCCGAGAGCCATAAGTGGGTCAAGCCAAAGCCAGGAGCCCAGCACTCCATCTGGGCCTCCCCGGAAGGTGGCAGGGGGCCAGGTCTGTGGATCATCGTCTGCTGCCTTTATAGGTGCTCAAGCAGGAGGCTGGATGGGAAACAGAGTGAGGGAGATTAGGCCAGCCAGCATCATGAACGGCGGCTCAGCACTCTGCTCCACAATGCTGGCCCTGCCGCACATGTCTCCCATGCATCCCTACTGCCAGTTGGTGCATCCCAACGGTTGAGCGGCTCTGAGTCCCATTGCATGCGGACCCCGTGTCATCTTGCTCAGTGGAAACTGCACTCATCCAACACCAGCCTGTCGCCCACAGCCCCTGGTACCCACCTGTCTGGGAGGGCTTCTGTGTGCAGAAGGGACTCCCCAGGCTGTGCTGTCTGGCTTGTCTCCATGGGCACTGGGTCTCCCAGGGTCACCCACAGGTATGTGGCAGGTGTTAACCCCTTCAATCCAAGGCTGACGGCAGGTAACATCACGGTGCCATGTGCTGATCCACTCACAAGCTCGTAGGCATTTGGATGGTGCTGCCTTTTGGTCTGTCAGGGATAATGGCTGTGGACACAGGTGTCTCTGTTTTTGCTACTTTGGCTTCTGTCCCCAGCAGTGGAACTCCTGGGTCACTGGGGAATGGCTGTTTTCCATAGAATCGTGGGGTTACTGTAACTAAGGCCAAGTGCCAGGCATGATCTCCTTGGTGACTGCCAGGTGGGAGATGGAGCTTGGTGGTGTTCTGTGACATCTGCCTTTCTAGGAGCTCACGTTGGTCTCTCCTGCTTCTCTAGAACATGAAGGCTCTGGGTGGGCTGTTGTCATCTGTAGACTGTGTACTGAGCTGCCCTGAGGTTGGTGCCTGGTGCTCAGGCGCGGTTTTCCCATGTGAGGAAAGACAGTCAGAGGGTGTGCGGGAGGGGTGGGGTGGACATCCTGACCCTGAGTGCCCAGGCCCAGAGACTGCCCCTGACAATCCCCGAGTAGTGACCAATCAGAGCAATGCCTGCTTTGTCACAGCAGGCCACACCCTGGGTACTGAGCCTCCCAGCTTCCACTAGGTGGCCCCGGGGAGCTGACCTCTGTGGGGAGGCTCCCAGTGACTCCCCCAGCCCAGGGATCAAGGCTGAGGGGGCGGGCCCTGATGGCTCTGCTCAATGGGGTGGGGCTGGGTGAGGCAGGGTGGGCCCACCACATGCTTGGTTTGATAGTGAGTATCTAAGCTGTGGCTTTCAGTTTTCCCTTTTGGGGGCATAGGTATATCTTGCCAGGCTGGTTGGCGACACTGAAGACTGGTGGACCAGCAAGGACTCCCCTGGTAAGCCAGGGACACTGTGACTCCCCCTCCTTTTGCAACCCCTCGCAGCTCTGCAAGACAAGGATCACTGCCATGCATGGTGGGGTGAGTGAGCTCAGAGAGGTTAGGTGGCAGGTCCCAGGTCACACAGCTCAGCAGGTGCCAGCCTGCATTCAGGGTCCTTCCTGACTGATCTCCCCGCCTGCCCCTTTGCTCCTAGACAGTGAAGGGGGATGAGGGGTTCAGGAATTGCAATGGAGGCTTCACAAGATACTGCTGGCTGTGCTTAGGTTCCTGACTGCGTGGGACAGCCCAGGGTATCCCAAGGGGAAGTTGGACACTGGGGATGCCTGTCCTGTTAGGAAGTTCAGAGGGACAGGAGGGGTGAGGTCAGGTGTCTCAGAGCCTGGCCTATCCTGTCTGTGGCCTGGGGCTAGCCTACGGAGCAGCTGCAGTCCGCTGGCAGCACAGGACTCCCGCCAGCAGACAGGGAGTTCAGGGCTTGTTTCACAGTCAGGGGGGGCCAGGCCCTGTAGGGATTGGGGTGCCTCAGGAAGGGGTGACTGCCCAGGGTCCTGTGATGGGTCTGAGCAGGTGGATAGCAGTACTATCCTTCCCAGGCCTTGGGGGTGGGGCTGTGCAGGCCTATAGGGGGACAGAGAAAAGCCAGAGTGGCCTGGGTGTCCTCAGTGGAGGAGATGACCCGGGTGTGGCAGTGAGGGGAGGGCTGGGCATTGACCATGGTGTTGTCATCAGAAGCTAAGGAGCCACAATGTAGCCCTGTGAACAGGGTCTGTGACCTGCTCTGTGGTGGGCTGGCTAGGCTGGACTGGGCTACAACACCCGTCAGTTCATGTGAGATGTGGGACTGAGGCTGACTTCCCGAGCTGCATCCAGTGCTATGTGTGTTGGCTGGTGCAGGTGACAAACCACACTTGAACCTGCACTAGGTGGTGCACCCAAGAGTCAAGTCTGAGGCACTGCAGGCAAGATAATTTGGGCAACTGCCCTGCTAGACTGCTGGACTCAAACCCTGGCCACAGGGAAACCTCAGGCTGTGTGGTCTGACCTTGGAGTGTGTGTATCAGGACTGGGCCACCTCAGTTGTTGATGCCTGTGCAGTGGACAGCATGCCCAGATGCACATGGGGGACATGATGCCATCAGGGGAGGACAACTGCCTTGTTGGGAAGCACAACAGGCTGGACAATTCTCCTGGCCAAGCTTGGCAGCATGTTCCTGAGCCTGTGGAGTTTGTCAACCCAGAAATCTCAACCCTGTTGCAATGAAACCTGTGTGTCAGGGCTGTTGAAACCACTCAATAACACCATCAGAATACGCTTCTCACATTCGAGTCTCTAGGGCACCATCATAGGACCATCCCCCACATCATAGGACCATCCCCCCCCAATCATAGGACTATCCCCCACCATCATAGGCCTGGGTGCTGATGTAGTTTGACAGAAAGGAGCCACCCCATTCCCCTTCTCCCCTGGGGACACAGGAGGAAAAGACTGAGACATGTGCCCCCTGCCTTCCTTCATACATGACTGCCCACCCTAACCATAGACCCACATGGGCATGCATCCCTCTAAACTATATAAACAATATTAAAATTTAAAATAGAAGAAGCCTGACCCAGGTCTTGAAGGACACTTGTCGGGAGGTGGTTGCTGTGAATGCGAAGTGCCAGCCCTGCGGTCCTGCCCAGGAGGGCTGCCCATGGCGATAAGGCAGATAGAAGCAGTTTCTTGGACACGGTACCCACCCACCATTCACATCAGCTTCCTCTCTCAGCTCGAGGCCCGAGCCCCAGCAGCAGACCTGAAAGCCCTCTTGCTCTAGCTCTATGTTTGAAAACTCAGGACAGCGAAGACCCGGTAAGCCTGACAGAACGAACTCCCTCTGACCTCAGTTCACATGTTGGTGCTAGGTGACCTCATAGTCATTGCACTTCTAGAGAAATCTCAAGGCAGAGCCCTCCAGTGTGGGCAGCATGTAGCAAGGAAAACGGAAAAGAACAAGAATCAAGCAGAGGTCCGACAGGAAGGGATGACCTGTGTGTCCCCTGGAGGGCGGAGCACTCATGGGAGGGACTCAGCTAGGGCTGGTCAGGGCTCTGGGTCCCGATGGACCAAAAGACCCAGCAGGAGGATGCAAGGACAGACTCTGGGGGGTTGCTGCCCGTCAAATGGACTGAGGGAGGCCTGGGCACAGGTGGAAGAGTTGTGCAAGCACACGCACTTGAGCCACTCTGACGGTGTAGCTAAGGGAGACACTGCTCAGGACATGGGTTTAATCTGACACCTGGGGCCTGGCGCAGTAGCCTGGAGGCCAGGGTCCTCACCTTGAATGTGCTGGGATCCCATTTGGGTGCCAGTTTGTGTCCCGGCTGTCCCAGGTTCCCTGCTTGTGGCCTGAGAAAGCAATCGAGGACGGCCCCAAGCCTTGGGACCCTGCACCCGCATGGGACACCGGAAGAAGTTCCTGGCTCCTGGCAAGCACTTGGGGAATGAATCAGCGGGCAGAAGATCTTCCTCTCTGTCTCTCCTCTCTGTATATGTCACTTTCCCAATAAAAATAAATAAATCTTTGAAAAAAAAAATCTGACACCTGTGCTTGAGTCCCCACTGGAGTGTCCTTTTCACCTAACTTTGTGGTGCAGTCTCGGCTTTATTATTATTAATTTTAAAGTTTTTTTTCAATTTATTTGCAAAGCAGAGTTACAAAGAGAGAAGGAAATAGAGGCAGAATCTTTCATCTGCTGATTCGCTCCGGCAATGGCGCAATGACGCAATGGCTGAAGCCTGGAGCTTTTTCCAGGTGACCCACATGATAGCAGCACCCCTCCTTCACCAAGACCCACGCCAAGATCAGCCCCCTGCCCTGCGGTTCTCCAGTGCCCACAGCTGCTTTCTCCTCCCCAAGGCTGAAGCCAGACCTCCCACCTTACAGCGAGGATGGAGAGCAAGGAGGAAGACCACGGTGCAGCTGGCAGCCACGAGGAAGACGAGCAGCGAGGCGATGGCACCATGGTCCCAGGTAATCATGCTTTCTCTCCCTGCTCACGCCTGGAATGCGGGGTGGTCCCCAGGGCTGAGCTCAGCCAAGTGCAGTCTCCTGGGGTCTGCAGGTGCACATCCTTCCCTGACCTCACTTCCTCCTTGCCCCTGCTACCTGCCACATGGAAGATGACACACAGAGATGAGAGAGGCAGGGCAGGAGCCAAAGGGACAGCTCGGGGCCATCCCCACTGCTGTGAGTGGCTCAGAGGTTGGGGACCAAGTGACCCGTTCGAATTGGACCTCATGTGGCATTGACCATTCCCCCATGTGGCAAGGAGTTCCTCACCAAGGTCATGTGGCTGCGAGGCAACAGGCGCAATGGCCTCAATCCAGATCCCACGTCCTGGGCCTCCCTGGGTGCTGCTTCCCATCCTCATTGCCCAGAATCTGAGACTTGCTGGTGTGCCCACCCGGCCCCACCTGACCCCTACAGGGCACTTGCCTCAGGCGGGACTGAGGGGCTGCAGCTCAAACACCCCATGTCCAAGATGCCTCACCATCACAGTGGTTTTTCAAATTGTGAGAATTTTTGGAAATGTATTTCTTTGAGAGGAGGAGGGAGAAAGATGCTTTGGGAACGCTTTGCATCATCCCAATACCCTAATTGCACAGCCCACTCGTGGCTGAGCCTCAGGTGAGAAGGCACAGGTGGAAGGGCATGAGGCCATCATGGGAGCTTCCCCTTTGTGGGGCCCAAGCCCATGCCTGCCGGTTGCTCTGTGGTGCTGAGCACCAGGTACACTGCTGTACTCTCAAACACCCCAGGATGGGGCTCTGCAGCCAGCCTTGCCAGCTGGGTCTCAGTCCTGGAGGCCAGAAGTCCAAGTTCAAGGTGAGAGCTGGGCTGCAGCATGGGGACGGCTCTTTTCCTGGTAGGCAGAGGGCGCTTTCTCCTTGGGCTGTCCTCTGTGTGTGGAGACGGAAGGGAAGAGATCAGGGTCGGACCCTCTGTCTTGGTTCATCACTAGAGTTCACCTCCTTGGAACACTGATTCCAAATACAGTCCTGGGGGTTGGAGCTTCAGTTTGGTCCCTGACCTCAGTGACCACATCCACATCCTCCCAGGACACCTGCTCCAGATGATTCCAGTTCACATGGAATCACACAGGCACCCCCACACCTCCCTCAGCTTGCTCTGCTTTCTGTCTGAGCAGATGATGAAAGCCGCCTTGCAGACATCATCGAGTATATCAGGAAGGCACTGAGCAGGGAGGAGCTGCAGCGGCTGCTGGCGGAAGACGAGGCCTGGGGGATATTCGTGCGTAGGGCAGAATTGTCCAGGTAACAGCCAGAGCTCCTGGCACGTGACCTCCATGCAGATTCCTAAGGCCGTGGTCGAGGTGACCCCTTCTCCGCAGCCTCGAGGAAGTCACTTGGGGCTAGGAAATGTGGCCAGAGGCAGCTTTGCCACTGGGTGAGGCACACGGTGTGTCCTCACACAGACACAGGACACCAGGCTGCTGCCTCGCCTGGCCTCTGGTGCCACCCTGAGGTGGCAAGCATGAGGCGTGGGCATTGCTGTGGGCTCATGTGGTGCCCTGTCCCATGGGAGAGGTTTGCTCTCTAGCCGGAAGTGCACTCTCACCTGCAGAGAGAACAGGTGCTTGGCCTCATGATTTTTTTTTTGTCACATGTTTTTTTTTTTAAAGAATCTATTTATTCATGTATTAGAAAGGTAGAAAGAATGAAGGAAAGAGAGAGAGAAAGAGAGCGAGAGAGAGTCAGAGAGACTTTCTACCACTGGTTCAATTCACAAATGGCTAAGAGGCCAGAGCTCGGTCCGGGTCTCCCACATGGGGGCAGAGGCCTGAGCACTTGGGCATCATTTCCTGTTGTCCCAGGGATGTCAACAGAGAGCTGGATCAGAAGTGGAGCAGCAAGGACTCACACCCACCCTCATATGGCATGCCAGCCTGACATATGCCAGCCTGGCATGTTAACTGGCTGCCCAACACTGGTCCCCGGCCTAATGACTAACACACCTACCTGCCACATTGAATTAGCTGGGTTTGATTCCTGGAACCTGCCATTTCCTGCCACTCTAGGCCCTGGGGAGCACTGGTAATGGCTCAAGTCCTCGGGTCGCTGCTACCCACACAGGAGGCCAGGCTGCCTCCTGGCTCCTGGCTTCGGTGCTGACCCAGCCCCAGCCATTGTGGACATCCAGGGAGTGAGCCAGGGGACAAGAGTGCTCTTTCTCACTTTGTCTCTAGGCCTCTTTATATATTCACAAACGAGGAAACTGCATTTAAAAGCATAAAGAGTCACGGTACAAGCGCCGTATAGTCGGTAGACGTCAGTCTAGGTGGATGTTAATTCTATTACTGAGTACCACATACTGTCCCCAAGAGCATGAGCTATGCATTTGCTCCACACCAGTGCCATGGGTGTGGGCACCAGCATCCCCTGTGCTCTGTGCCATGGTACTGTGGTGGCAGAGAGGCTTGGGGTGAGAGGGGTATTAGGCTCCATGTGCCCTGTTCACACACACACACCCTGTTGATTGCTTATGACGGCATGTCCTATGTGTCATTGACTGGATGCCAGTGGCTCCTGGGGACCATGTACACCCTGCACGCATGGCTTAGCAGGCATCGTGTGCATCTGCAGCGCTATGTGCTCTCAGCCCGCAGGTCCCCTGGGTTTGGGGGATGCAGGCATCTCCAGGTGAGCTCTCTTCTCGGTGTTCCAAATGCTGACAATCTGGAACAGTTGGGATTTCAGATTTCCTGCCCTGTGGCACTCCCCAGGTGAGCAGACAGTCCCTGCAGGCGGGACAGTCCCTGCAGGCGGGGCACTCCCAAGGCTGGTCCCTGGTCGGTGGACTGCCTCTCCGCTGCACACCCAACCCCACCATGATGGTCCGCTCCAATGCCACTTGTATCTGTCTGCAGGTGTTTCAATAGTGTTGCTAAGAGTGAGAAAGCTTCCTTGAGTGACAAAGCATCTTGGTTAGATAGGGACCACCACCAGTAACTTTTTATTTGTTTGAAAGGCAGCATTACAGAGAGAAAGAAGGAGAGGGGTCTGCGAATTCACTTCCAAAATGCTACATGATCTGTAACAGGAGCCTGGGGCTCCATCCAGGTCTCCCACATGGGTGAAGAGACCCAGGGACTTGGTCCATTTTCCACTGCTTTCCCTGGCTCACTAGCAAGGAGCTCTGGAATCAAAGTGGAGCAGCTGGGACTTTAACTGGTTCTCAAATGGGATGATGGCACAGCAGGCAAAAGCCGAAGCCACTGTGCCATCACACTGGTTCCTGAATAATATGTTAAGATGACATTTACATAGGGTCAGTTTGTGGCATAGTAGTTAGAGCCAAGGCCTTGGGCCCCTGTACCCACGTGGGAGACCCAGAAGAAGCTCCTGGTTCCTGGCTTTGAACTGACCCAGCCCTGGCCATTCATTGTGGCTGACCATTCATGGAGTGAACCAGCAAGAGGGACTTTGTAATCTTTCCCCTCTTGTAAGTAGTGCAATTAAGTAAATAGATTTTTAAGAAACTGCAACTTTACTTCTTTACTTTCTTAGCGAATGTGTTTAGAGCATCTGTGAGGGACGAGCTACGTGTCTGTTGAAAGGGAGATTTTTTACTTGTCCCTTCCTGACTAGCAGTGCAGGTGCTGACTTAGCCAGGATCCAGCCTCCCCAGCCCGTTTCACAGACCCACAGGCTGCCTGTCCTCATCATGTGACCTTTGTTGTTACAGTGAGGAGGCACACGCGCTACGTGAAGCCCTGGCCAAGTGTAGCACAGGCACGGCCATGGACTCGGTCCCAGACAAGGACCCGGATGTGGACCTGGAAGACGAAGAAGAGCGGCAGGTGAGGGAGAGGTTTTTGAAGGCGTTTCCGCAGGTGAAAGCACAGCTGGAGGAGAGCATAGCAAAGCTGCACGCCCTGGCAGACAAGGTGGGCAAGGTGCACCGGGACTGCACCATCACCAACGTGGTGGCTTCCTCTACCGGGGCCGCCAGTGGCATCTTGAGCCTCCTCGGCCTGGCTCTGGCCCCTGTGACTGCAGGAGTCAGCCTGGCACTCACAGTCACAGGGTTAGGGCTGCGCACAGCAGCTGCCATGACCAGAATCACCACCACCGTCGTAGAGCATTCAACGAATCTGTCAGCTGAAGAGGAGGCCAAGAGCCTCATGTCGAGCAGCATCCAGAAAGTGGAGCAGGTTGGAGGTGCTGTGGCTGTGAGGCTCCCCGCGGGGCATGGCTTACCCAAGGACTGGAGCAAACTGCTGAAAGTCATCGCGGACGTTGTTCGCATCATCAGATCAGTTCGAAGCAGTGCCCGTCTCCTGACGACAGGGAGGATGGCAGTCCAGGATGGGAGGCAGGTGCAGCCAGCCTTTGGGGGCACTGCTCAGACCATGACCACAGGGGCCCGCATCGCAGGTGCTGCCACCGCTGGACTATTCCTTCTGGTAGATGTGATCGGCCTTGTGCAAGAGTCAGTGCAATTGCACCAGGAGACCATGTCCGAGTCGGCTCAGGATTTGCGGCAGCGGGCTCAGCAGCTGGAAGAGAAGTTGGCACAGCTCATAGAGATCCAGAGGAGCCTGCAGCAGGACACGGCTGAGTGAGCCTGGCCAGTGCCCAGGTCAGTGGAGCTGTGCTGATGGAGCCCAGCAAACAGACACATTTTCTGAGGAATAAGCAGCTGAAATAAAGGATAATGATATGGGCATTAAGGAGGTTGACATTGCTGTAGTTGAGCCCAGGGAGGGTGAAGGCAGATGGGATACAGGTCAGAGACAAGGCCGTAGCCTGGACTCTGAATGTGGGAAGAGGCAGGGGGCAGGGAGGGTGTTGTGGCTATGGAAGGAGGCAGGGCTTGGGATCCAAAGGTTCAGTTTAGGGGAAAGTGGGTTGGGAGTGTGGCAGCTGGAATGGGGAAAATCAATTACTGAGGACTGAAGAATTGCATCAGGGCGTAGAGACAGCAAGGCATGCAGGGACAAGCCCTAGAGGGCTGCAAGTGAGAAGAGCCCAAAGCCAAGAGTGGTTGGGGGATGGAAGGTGAGCCCTGGCTCCACTGCTGAGGCTCCACCCACCTGGGCAGCCTATCCAGAAGCTAGCTTTTCCCTGGGGTGAGGGGGTTCCAGCGAGCTTGTTCTCGGAAAATGAAGAGGGCTGGAGGCTGGCAGTGATGGTCACAGAGGCAGGGCCCATGGTCAGACTTTGGAACACACAAACACTGTGAGCCAGCCAGGTTCCAGGGTCACTGCTAATGTGTAACAGGATCGGGGCTGGCTTTGAGATGGGCAACAGACACCAGGAGCCAGGAGAGGTCATGGAGTTGTGGTGTTGTGTGACTGACCACCCCAAGGTGCTGCCTCACTGAACCTCATCCTCTTCAGCTGAAGAAGGAGTGCAGGATTAAAAGAAATCTCAGAAGTGTCAGGCTCTACCTGCCTTGCATTCAAGACATCTGTTGACTCCTGTCAGGAACAGTTTGACTGAGAGGGGCTGACCCCATGGCATGGCAAGTTAAGCTTCTGCCTGCTGTGGTGCAGGCATCCCAAATGGGTGCTGGTTTGAGTCCCTGCCGCTCCACTTCCAATCCAGCTCTCTGCTGGAGTGCCTAGGAAAGCAGTAAAAGCAGGCCCAGGTCCCGGGGTCCTGACAAGGTATGGGGGACCTGGAGGAAGGGCCTGTGCCCTACCAGCTCAGGTCTGGCTATTGTGGCCATCTGGTGACTGAAGCAGCAAGTGGAAGATCTCTCTCAGTGTCTCACCTTCTTTCTCTGTAACTCTGACTTTCAAAGCAAACAAATAAACAAATATTCCAGAACAATGGACTCAGACCTGGAGCCTTTTCTGTGTTCGCTGATTGGCTGGTCCATAGGTTGTCTGATGTTCCTTGGTCAGGGACCTTCTTCCTGGAGCTGTTGCCATCTCCGTCAACTCCACAGAAGAAACCAAGACCCAGAGGAGGCTGTGGCACAGCGCACACTCTGGCTGACCGTGGAGTAGTGCCACTTACCTTCTCAATTTCATAAACCCTTGGGCCTTTGTGTGCAGGTCACCTTCCATGCTGTTGAGCCCACTGGATGCCATGTAGTTACTGTTGGTCCCACAGCTCAGGCCCAGCGTCTCGTGGCTTCATCCCTGCCCTTGATTTTGTCCTCCCATCTTGCTGAATCTGCCTCTGCATCGTCTGTGGCTTTGAGGTTGGCTTCCCCTGGGTTCCTCCTGGCCAGGCACCATGGCCTGTGAGTGAAGGATCACTTAGCTATGTAACACTCAGCTTCCAGAGCTGCCCTGAGAAGCCCCACGTCACACAGCTTCGTGGACCACCTACTCTGCCTCATCTCCAGTCCTTCACTTCCCAGGTGGCTTAGGAGGGAGGAAGTGGGAGCCAGGAAGCCAGGTCCTGGGGGTAGGAGGACCTGAAGCCATAGGCCTCACTGGTAGTGGACATAAGGCTGCCTGCAGGGGCTGTGAGAATATTCTGGAATTAGGGAGTGTTGATGTTTGCACAGCATAGTGAATATACTGCACACCATCAGAGAGAGGAGGGTGATGGGCATCCCATGTTAGTGATGCTCTCTGTGTAAGCAGCAAATGTGGAAGGGATAGGTAGGGGACCAGAGAGTACATTCTGAAAAGGGGTGGGGTGGCAAGCTTGTGGGCATTTGAATGGTGCTGCCTTTTGGGGCTGTCAGGGATAATGGCTGTGGACACAGGTGTCTCTGTTTTTGATACTTTGGCTTCTGTCCCCAGCAGTGGAACTCCTGGGTCACTGGGGAATGGCTGTTTTCCACAGAATTCAGGGCTTACTTTGCCTAAGGACAAGTGCCAGGCAAAGACCTCCTGGGTGACTGCCAGCTTGGTGGCACCTCTTGGCACAGGCTCCTGAGCTGCCAGCAGGTGTCGCTGTGGGAGTCTGCTTGCCATGCCCAGCTGCTCCACACTCCTTCAGTTGGGGACCTGATAAACTGACACTGCTGCCTGTGTATCTCTTGGCTAACCCTGTGACTGCTCAGACTTAACAGGCAGCCTTCCCACTAGAAATCAACTATGGAGGCATGATCTGTTTGCATACTCTTTGTTTTATGTGTTGTGTTTGTATGAACAACAAAGTTACATAGAAAGGGAGAGAGATAGAGAGAGATCTTCCATTCATTGTGGCACAGCAGTTATCCAACACTTGTGACAACAGATTCCCATATGGATGGGTCCCAGTGTAAGACCTAGGTGCTCCACTTCCATCCAGCTCCCCGATAATGCACCTGGGGAAGCAGCAGAACTGGTTCAAGTGTGTGGATCCTGCACTCACAGGGGAGACCAGGATGGAGTTCCAGGTTCCTGGCCCCAGCCTGGGCCAGCTCCCGCTGTTGTAGCCATTTGGGAAGTGAATCAGCAGATGGGAGATTGTCTTTGTGTGTCTGCTGCTCTGTCTGATTCTGCCTTTCCAGGAGCTCACATCGGTCTCTCCTACATCCCTAGAGCCTGAAGGCTCTGGGTGGGCTGTTGTCATCTGTAGACTGTGTACTGAGCTGCCCTGAGGCCGTTGCCTGGTGCTCAAGCTCAGTTGGCCATGTGAGGAAAGACAGAGTGTGTGTGTGGTGGCAGGGTGGGGGAACGTACCCAGATTCAATTGAGCAAGCTTTGCCAGAGGGGCAGGCAGGCTATGCCCTTTCCTGCTCAGCCTCCCAGCTTCCACTAGGTGGTGCACAAGGTGGTGTCCCTGGGAGCAGATCTCTATGCTGCGGCTGGCAGCAGGTCCCTAACTCCAGCATTCAAGGCCAAAGGTAGGGAAGAGGGAGGCAGCATGGAGGGATGCCTCCTCTGACTGGGGCAGCCGGGGGCGGGGCTGATCTTTCACAGGATTGGCCAACTGTATGTTTGCAGTGTGGCGGTGACCTCTTGAAACAGCTGCTTTCGGTTTCCTTCTTGGGTGCACAGGAACTTTTGGCTGGAAGAACAAGTCTGATTACATGGATGCTCAGCAGACGATGCTGTTTACGGGTGGACCAGCAAGGACTTCCTGGTAAGCCGGGGACACTGGGAACCCTCTCCCTTTACAACCCCTCGCAGCTCTGCAAGACAAGGATCATTGCCATGCATGGTGGGGTGAGGGAGCTCAGAGAGGTTAGGTGGCAGGTCCCAGGTCACACAGCTCAGCAGGTGTCAGCCTGCATTGACACCAGGTTCCTGTCTGACTCTCCCTAGGTTCCCATGGTGTCTGTGAAGAGTGGAGGAGCAGGGAGGTGGAGAGGCACTGCCCCAGGGGCTTCAGAAGATGTCCCAGGCTGGGCATGGGTTTGTAGGAGCAGAGACAGAGCCAGGAGTCTGGGACTGACCAAGTTCTACTCTTTGGTCTCCAGCCAAGACTCCTGGACTTAACTCTGCCTGCCACGCTCAGTGTGGTCCCAAGGGTGTCACTTGAATCTTCTGAGTTAGGGTCATGGTTTGCTGCCTGGCTGCCCCCTAGGAGCAGGTGGTGAGCTGCTCTGGGTTGGTGTGGCCAGAATTACAAAGAAAGAGTGTAAGAGATAGCTAGATCTTCCAGCTACTGCTGCAATCCCCAAAAGGCCATAATCGCCAGAGCTTGGCTGGTCACGGGGCAGAGCCTTCCTCCAGATCCCAGAAAATCAGCAAGTCTCAAGTCAGTGCTAAGGCATAAATGTGGTTTATTCAGGTTAGCCTAGGTCTCCTAGCCACCTCCCCCAGCCCAGTCCGGCTGGGCGGGGAAGTGGCAGCCACAGCGCAGGATCAGCAGGGAGGACAAAAGAGAAGGAAAATGAGTCTGCTTGCTGGGCTCCTGTCAGTGTGACCCCACTGACTTGGGCATTGGCCCTGGCTCACTCAGCCATGTCCCCCTGCAGGCTTCTGTAGATCTCCATGAGCTGTGCCAACTTCTCTTCCAGCTGCTGAGCCCGCTGCCGCAGATCTTGAGC